TCCTCGACCTGCTGGGCTCTAGCGATCCTTCCGCCTCAGCCTTCCAAGTAGCTGGAACAACAGGTGTGCGCTACCACACCCAGCTAATTTTTGATTTATTGTAGAGATGAGGTCTTGCCAAGTTGCCCAGGCGGGTCTCGAACCCGCGGGCTTAGGCAATGCACTCACCTCAGCCTCCCAAAGCACGGGATTACAGGCTGAGTCACCCAGCCCGGCCTATATGTATATTTTAAATGCACCTAACAAGCTAAAGGGCAAGAGATGCACCTTGTTCTTGGTCTATGTGGGGTTCAGTAACCAAGTTCAGCATATTTGTCTGGGCGCCCGTGACTTTATGCAGTTATCCTTCGTAAAAAGGATAACTGCTATTTTAAGACTGTGCTAGCTGAGAGTAATTAAGTTCATAAGAGGATATCACTTCAAACAAATTGTGTTATTCAGAAACCAAATAAACATGTTTCTCCTACCACCTGCCTTTGGGTGATGTGTAGAAATTCAAATGGGGTAAAGTGTAAGGTAGACAAAAGGGCTATTCACTGTCTCTGAAGACCAAGATGCTTCCCCCAATACTTTTTAAGAATGCAGGCTGGGGGAGGGATGTGGGGGGATCATGAGATGTAGCAAGCTAGGCTAGTGTGAACAGCTGGTTTTATAATCTACCCAGAGGATTCAGGCCAGGTCACTTTTTGTGGCTACTGCTCTTGGGCTAAAAAAAGAAGTGAATAGTAAGGTAAGCAGAATCAACAAAATGACCTCCTTCACAAAGAACAAGTGATTGAATGTCTATGTGAATCAGCCTTTCTGTGAGAAGGAATGGAGTTCACCAGTAAGTTTGCAGTATTTTCACTTACTTGTTTATTCACTCAACAAGTAGTTGCTACACACCTACTGTGTGCCAGGCCTTGACCTGCGTATACTTTTTTTCCCCTTATGGGACCTGCTAAAGCAATGTACCCTCAACAGGGACTTGGTGGCTTATGCCTGTAATCCCTGCACTCTAGGAGACCAAGGTAGGAGGAGTTTGAGGCTAGGAGTTCCAGACCAGCCTGGGCAACAAAGCAAGACCCTGTCTCTACAAAAAATAGAAAAATTAGCCAGGGGCAGTGGCATGCAGCTGTAGTCCCAGCTATTTGAGAGGCTGAGGAAAGAGAATCACTTGAACCTAGGAGTTCAAGGCTATGGTGAGCCAGGATGGCGCTACTGCACTCCAGCCTGGGCAACTAAGTGAAACCTTACCTCAAAAAAAAAAAAAGATGACTTTCAATGAAACTGTTTCACAGCCTCAAGTTTTCTCATCTGTCTCAAAGAACTTAGAAACTTCATCACACACTGTCTCTACCAACCATCCTAGCTTTGGAGTTTCCTTTGCCAAGGGCCATACTCCTCCATCACCTCACATCTGTACACCTGAAGTGACTCTCGCCCCCCCCCCCATTATTCACGCGGTCAGGAAAACCTCTGAGAAGAGACTGAGCTTTACTGAGCAACAGGAGCTCCGAGTTAGAAGCTCTCAACATTTTGATTTTCTCAAAAGCTAACTCTTGCCTCCTGCAAACACAAGAGTATCCTCCATCCTAAGGCCTCTGCATTTTCAGTATATTCACTTGAAGCACTGGTTTAAAATATGATTACTATTTTATTATGTATATAAAATGAGTAAAAGTTCCCACCAGGAATCTATTTGTAACAAGCTCCCTAGGTGATTCTAGAGCAGAGTTTGGAACTGTTGTGTATGTGTCTGTGGTTAAACAACACGTGCAGGGGTGATTCTTTCCACTGGGGGTCACACACTGGCTAGTAAATCAGCAGAGGAGTGCCGGCCTGTGGTCAGGGTCGCCTAACCTTCCAGTGGGCCAGCCTTTCTCATCCTTCCTGAAGACTCAATTTTACTACTGCGGGGTCCCAGGAAGGCCTCTAGGTGGCAGGTTTGGAAAGCTGTATAATGGCGGTTGACAAGAAGCCTTTCTGTACTCTCAGAGAACCTTAACTCCTAGGACCACGGAGGAAGTTTGGGAAACCAGAACTTTGAGCGGTCTAAGCCACACCTTCCCTCCCATCTTACCATTGGCCTTAGCTTTACCGGCCCACTCGGAGACGTCATCCTGAGCCCGTCCGTCGGTGAATACGATGGCCACTCTGGGCACCCGTGTGGAGGGGGGCCTGGCCCCTTCTATTTGGGTAAAACTCCTCTCGAACATGTGTTTCAGGGCCAGCCCCGTCATGGAGCCCTTGCCCAGGTACTTCATGTAGGCCACGGCTTTCTTCATGTCCTTGGCCGAGTGGAAGTTTCTTAGGGTAAACTCCGTGCGGACCTGCGTGGAGTACTGGAGCAGCCCCACTCGGGCAGCTTTGGGGGAGATCGCCAAGGAATCTATAATTCCGGTGACAAACTGCTTCACAACCTCAAAATTCTCTTCTCCGAGGCTCTTGGACCCATCAATCACAAAGACCAGGTCAATGGGGCCTTCAGTACATCCTACAGGAACAAAAGGAAAGTTGACATCATTTGATAACTTAAAATTGCTTATGCGCAAGAGCAGAAGAAACTTGGAGAAACTCCACTGGAGGTATAACCACTTTAGGGAACCACTGGAAGGGTCCCAAGCAACAATAATTTCCACATATGCTTTTATTTTTTGGCTTATCAAGTTGATAAAGATAGCATTTTTCACAAGCAAAAACACACAGCAGATATATAAATTGTCTAGGAGGCCAAGTCCACACTGTACCCTGGAGCACAGACAGCCAGGTCTGGAGGGGTATACAATACAATGAAGAGTCTGACAACACCCCAAAGAGTCCTATACCTTCACTCCAGGAGGGTGACTTCACCCCAGTGCTGGCGTTATGACAGACAGTGGAAAAGAAGATTCTTAACATTCAGCTCAGCCATCACCTCTGCCAGGGAGTTTTTCTAGTAACCCAGCTTGTATTAGTTACTCTTTTGTTTGCTTGTTTTTTGAGGCAAAGTCTCACTCTGTCACCCAGGCTGGAGTGCAGTAGCATGATCATGGCTCACTGTAGCTTTGACCTCTTGGGCTCAGGTGATCCTTCCAACTCAGCCTCTCAAGTAGCTGGGACTACAGGTACATGCCACCACACCTGGCTAATATTTTAATCTTTTTTTATAGAGACAAGGTCTCACTATGTTCCCCAGGCTGGTCTCGAACTCCTAGGCTCAAACAATCCTCTTGCCTCAGCATCCCAACGTCCTGGGATTATAGGTGTGAGCCACCGCACCTGGCCTAGTTACTTTTGATATACCCTTAACACTACTACTTTATTCAACCAAAAATTCATCTACTGAGTACAGTGGGCACAGCAGGATTGCAATAGTAACTAGGACAAAATTCCTGACACCAAGTTGCTTATAATCTAATGTACTCTGTGTTATACTCTACATTGTACAATAATTATTTAATGATGTGTCTGTTTCCTCCTCTAGTCTGTAAGTTCCTCCTCAGCAGAGACTGTGTCCCATTCATTTTTGTGCTCCTGGCATACAATAGGTGTTCAGTAAATGCTTGTTGACAGAAAAAAATGAATGAAGTGGTGTCCATTAGATAGCACACCTGGGATTACCCCCACTAACTATTTAAAGATTTAAAATGGCTGGGTGCAGTGGCTCATGCCTGTAATCCCAACATTTTGGGAGACTGAGGCGGGAGGATCACTTAAGCCCAGGAGTTCCAGACTAGCCTGGGCAACCTACTGAGACCTCATCTCTACAAAAAAAAAAAAAAATCACAAAAATTAGCAGAGCATAGTGGTGTGTGCCTGTAGTCTCAGCTACTCTGGAGGCTGAGGCAGAAGGATTGCCTAAGTCCAGGAGGTCGAGGCTGCAGTGAACTGAGCTGTGATCATGCCACTGCATTCCAGCCTGGGCAACAGAGTGAGACTTTGCCTCCAAAAAAAAAGGCAACTCAGATGCTTGACAGTAAAACAGAGCTAAAAGCTTTATTCAAGTACTCAGGCAGTTTGGGTGTGGGGAGATTTTTTTGTCGTTTAGAGATACATAAGAAAAACTGACAGATCCAAAATGGATGAGATCATTTCAAATAGTCTACAATATGTGACAAACATCCTCTTATATATATTAGACAGCTGTCTAATCATTCAAAGTGAGGCACAACACTATAGGTAAGTAAAGACACATACATGCAAAAATATTGCTATGCCTGGCCAGTATAGTATGCTAACGTAATTGTGTGTGTGTTTGTATGTGTGTGTGTGCACACATGCACATGCATATGCTGAAGGGTTGGGCTCTTCCCGTTCTCCATTAAGTGCTTGTCTTCATGACTCAACCTATGGATCCTTTATTAGTGAAAGAGGAAAAGACCAATTCAGAGCTTCATTTACATTCATAACCTGTTCTTGAATAAAAAAGGACTCAGGCAGCATGTACACGGCTCTCCAGCAGATTTTAGAAATTCTGAAATAATTTTCCACTGGTGAACAGGGACCGGACATTTGCCTTCAGACCTAGGAAGAAGGATGGCCTCGCTTGTTGGCTGCAGGAGGGCCAGTCCTTCATCTCTTGGGCATTTTCTTTTTGGTAGTTAAGTTGATGAGGCTGGAATGGAACTGCGACTTGCTTTCAGGACATTCTTTTCACAGAGGTCTAGAGTTTCCGGGTTGGATAAGCCCTTTAGAGGCCATCTACTCTAGCCCTGCTGTTGCTTATATCCTCTAGCAGCGCCCGCACCGGGTGGCCACTCACTCTGGCCTGAATACCCTTCCTCATCACCTTACCACTAAAGCCCCTTCTTTGGACAGCTCTGCTGTTGACTGCAAGGGTAATCCTTTTGGGGCACTGGGTTCAGCACTTTCTTTTCTTTCTTTCCTTCTTTTTTTTTTTTTTTTGAGTTGAAGTCTCGCTCTGTTGCCCAGGCTGGAGTACAGGGCACCATCACAGCTCACCATAGCCTTGACTTCTTGGGCTCAGGTAATCCTTCCGCCTCAGCCTCCAAAGTAGCTGGA